CTATCCCATCGCCTACATAGTGTGGGTCGGTGTTCCTTCGAGCTTCGAGCTCTTGCTTAGTCACGTGCCTCCGCGCTAACTTAAACACAATAGCTGTTCCCATTTTGTTTGATGTACGCTACATATATTGTTGGAAAGTTCGCACAATATCTGAAGGTCGCACACTACGCGCGCAAATACAAAGGAAGATGACACTTTTTCCCGGAGGCAGTGTGGGGTGCAGTGGTGTAAGCCACAATAGTCATATTGTAAAGTTTTCACATTATTATTAATAGTAATACAATTGCTATTCATTATTAAACGCTAATATAATTATTATCTATACTACTACTACAAATGACTGCAAGCAAAAATATGAAATGCCTTGATAATAGTACTAATCAAAATAATATTGTAAGTTAAATTAGTACAACAGTGCTACGAAGCCTAAAACATCATTCTATATTCAATAAGTACTAAAGTTTCGATTGATGCCGAAATATAAGTCACCAAAGCCTACCCTTTTTGTCAGCATCTCCTACGACGATATAGTACGTGTGTGCTTATCGGCGCCTTTTAATTATGCTAACTAACGCGTACACAGGCAGCGCCCTTTGCGTGGCCTTGCATACCGACGCTGAAAATGAGAGCAAAATGAAATTTAAGCAGTGCTTTTAAGTACGATGTGTAGACCACATATAATTTGTAAGAAACACAATGTTGATTTTAGCCAATGGGGGCCGCCTTCGCTGCGCTCGACAGCTTTTTAGCGAATCGACGCCGCCTTCGCTGCGCTCGGCAGCCAGTAGAACGCGCGTATTTGCGTTACATTAATTAACCCTAGCCCGTTACGGACGGACTGACAGACAGACACCAGACTTCAAGTCCGATATAGCTGAGATCCGTACCCTCTGGATCATGGACGATCCACCTGCCCCGGCTGTGGCCGTTGCTACCACGGCTGCCGAAGTGGATGGGCCATCCAGATCGTCTGGGTCGAACTCATCATGGGAGTTGTCCCCCTCTACTGACTCCATCTCCACGTCCCGT